AAGTGAATCAGTCGTCATATCACCTCCTCCACGTGACAATCGAGTTGTGTAGACATTGCTCCATATCCAGACTGTGTTGTGATTTCTCACTTACAATTCTTGTTGGCTTATGTCCAATCCTCCTCAAATTTCCTTCGTCAAGTTTAACGGGTAACAAATCCTTCAGTGGTTGCTGTAGTGCTTCACTAATAATTTCGATAGTGATATTCGTGATCAACAAAGTTGCTGAGTGCAACTGATAAGTGATCTGGCGACGAATTGATACTGACACAGACTGCTTCTGTAATGCAAATAAGTCGCATTAAATGCCTCTCATTGAAGCCTTCGTCGTAATTATTAGGGAATATATGAGCCTTATCGATTGACGGACGACATACTTGCCTTGACATTCACAGAAATCAATATTTGGATTGAGTCAATATTCACACGTACGTATGCATACGTATGTTTATATTGACATCTGAGAGGTTCACTCGGAAACAACAGTTGCCTTGTCAGCTGAATACACATTTCACAAGAAACCAATCTGTAACAATCCATCGAAAATAATGAATCAAAAAGATGAAGAATAATCCAGGAATGACCATGTCCTGCTGCCCTTTGGACTCACAATAATATTCCTATTTATATCAACACTATGATGTTCATTGAGATTTCAATGAAAACGGTTATGCCTTGTTTCATTCTCCAGGTATCTTGATAACATCTCAGCATCAACAACTGCTGACTGTGAAACTGTCTCACAGCCAATTTACATCCATCTGGTAATTCATCTAAGCTCGGGAAGTCACTGAACATTTAGTGGTGTTGAAATTCAAACCAAACATCATGTCAGGAATTAGTTTCGATGGCTGAGTGTACTTTCATTTAAGAAGAGGTTATGTCAAGCATTATCAAAACAACGAAAATAAGTTGTTGCTCGACATCTAACTTTGGTGAACATTCAAAACTTGAGTGAATACATGCCACTTCATGTTGACCACTATAGAAATCAGCACGAGTAGGATTGATGACAGTTGCTTACAATGTACACAATGAATCACATGTGAAACCTCATCGTGTTAATCCACCAGACCACAGTACAAAGGTATCCTGTACCGTATCCTTTAAAAAGTGGTTACTTCACAGATTTAGTTGAATCATTTGAACATTAGTGAATATACCATTTGAAATCGATCACCCCTGATGCGTCAGTCACATTAATTGAAGCTTCAACATTGTTTAGTTTCAACTTATGTGTGAAATGCTAGGTGGTGAAGATCACTGAAAACGACATGTTACATAGGCGAAACTAAACAATCTTCAAACATTCACCAGAGAATTGAACAGATATAGTTCCAGTCAGGCATAATGAAACCATGGAAGTGCTCTTTGAAGTACAATGTGACACCATGTCGACATTTGTCGAACCGAGGTGATGAGGATAATCAATCATCAGCATCAACATTAACTGGCACAAATCGCCATCGACAGAAGACATTTAACTTAAGTTACCTCCTTCACTTATCCAGGAAGCGTCGTCTCAACTACAGGTGAAACGGATGAAGATGTCAAAGTCAGAATCGGAAAGGCAAGATACGCCTTAATCAACCTGAAACCAGTTTGGAAATCTTCTGCACTGCACTCAGGAACAAGATTCGGATTTTCGACGCTAGTGTGAAGTCAGTCAGTCAGCTTTTTATGTAGGTCAGAAGCTTTTCATGTGCGTCACGAAACAGATTTCCAACAGCCTGTTGCAGACTCTTATCGACTGCGACCCCCTTCGCTGGCTCCATACTGAAGATCGAATGCCGGTCAGAAAGAATCAGCAACAAGAAACTCTGAATTGGGACAAACCAAGCAAGAGCCGATCGCTCAACCAATATGTAGAAGAAAATGGAGATGGATCGGTTATACGTTGAGGAAGCCGTCGAATGAAATCGCGCGCAATGCAGGCTTTCACTCGAGTGAAATCCCAATCTGAAGCGACGAGTGGGTCGTCGGTGCGAGGATGACACGGGAGAGGTCGTGTAATGGAGGGGGGCAGATAAGAGATTATGGTCATTTGTGAATCCAGCTGAAGAGGACGGCAGAAAGTGGTGTGTTGTTGAAACCCAGCGTTGCACTCAGAACCTAAGGGAATAATAATAATCAAGATTTTGATGTATCCATATAGGATCTTATTCATTTCTATTCGCAGCTGTCTATAGAAATCCACCTCCTCCTCTTGCTCTGATGACGTTAAGATAGAAAATAAAATAGAATTGATTAAGTGAACTGGATGACGTAATACAATTGAGTAGAATTCAGAGTAGGTCAAATTGGCAACAGTGTTAATGAGGGTAGAGATTACAAAAGGGTGGGGTAGAGAATAATACAAATGAAGATGTGAAAGAATAAAATGCAAAAGACAAAATAATACAATTAGTAAGACTGAAATTAAGAAAGATTGCGGCCATTGTAGATTTAATGAATGAACGAATTTCTTTTGTATACAGAGTTCAGGATTAAGCAGATGAATTGCCATTGCTTCTGCGATGTGGAGAAGTTTGATCCGTACCCTTTTAGCAAGATTGCTTTGCATTCTGTAGATAACTTTGAAGTTTATTTCTGGTTTGACTTGGTGTCCAGAGTCGATCAAATGTTCAAGGATCGAGCTGCGGGGGCATCGGTTTTCTCCTTTATAAAACCATGAAGGTAAATGTTCGTTGACGCGTTTGGATAGCGAACGCTGAGTACGGCCGATATACCTGGCTCCACATGAGCAGGTGAATTGATAGATGCACATAGATGAGGCCAACAGCGGTAGCTTATCTTTCACGTCCATACGAATCATTGGTCTCGTGGAGAACGTCAGTCGTAATTCAGCTGCAACGGAGGTTTTCTTCAATGAGCGGGAGAGCCTATTTCTCAGTATTTCTGTAGATCGGTCTCCACTGAACTGTAGGTTCATTTAGAGAAGTCTTTTTGGAGCACTGGGTGTGGGCGGCTTCTCTGGTCTGGGTTTCATTGATTTTGTGATAAATCTTTCTGGGTAGCCATTTTCAAGGAGGATTTTCTTAAGAGTGTTCATTTCATCTTCTATGGTGTCCAGGTTGCAAATTCTACATATTCTGTGGCTTAGTGAACGGATTAAGTTTCGTTTAGTATATAGAGGCACCCAACTGTGGAAGTTAGTGAGCTGTCCGTTCCACGTTGGCTTTCTGTAGATGGATCTTTTTAATGTTCCGTCTTGTTGGCGTCTCGTTAGTTGAACGTCAAGGAAAGTTATCTTTGAGTTAGACTCTTTCTGTAGTGTGAACTGAATCGCAGGGTGGTAGTTGTTGAAGAACTTCAGGATATCTTCTAAATTCTCTTCGTTGTTGCAGATGATGAAGGTGTCATCGACGTATCTCTTGTACAGTTCAAAGTTGTCAATCATATTCTTTAGGCAAGTGTTTTCGAGTTTTGACATAAAGAAATCCGCAAGCAGAGGGCCTAGTGGTGAGCCCATAGCCCATAATATATACATATACATATATGCAATATTAAACACTATTCCGAACAATAATAATCAAACACAATGAAAACGTTTCAGCATCTCGCATTCGGATGAAAAATATCCAGTTACCAGGGCAAAGAAAGACTGATAACCGCTTCTTTCTGAACGCATAAGTCAGGTTTCAGGCGCTTGATGGAGGAGAGCATGTACCAAAAAGCTTATGTCGAAAGGGAACAAATGCTTTAAACAGTGCCATCACCAGGCATCTCCTCGACATGGATCATGAGGTGGACGTCAAAAAGTCGTTCAAAATTATCAATAGGCAAAAGAGCTGAATTCTCCTCAAGTTTGCTGAAGCCATTTCCATCAAGCGCCTGAAACCTGATTTATGCGTTCAGAAAGAAGCGGTTATCAGTCTTTCTTTGCCCTGGTAACTGGATATTTTCAACTCTCTTCCATCTGAATGCTCAATGCTGAAACGTTTTGATTGTGTATGATTATTATTGTTCGGAACAATGTTTAATATTGCATATATATATATATATATATATATATTATCAGTGTATGCGTATAGTGATCGATTGACTTTTGTTTGAAAATGAACTCTGTGCAAGTATGTTAAAATTGTTTTTGTAGATACATTTAATAATGTCTTTGCCCTGTAAGCAGTTGACGAGAAGGCAAGGAAATAAAAGATGGTACCATTTTATTCTACTAAAACTGTAGTTCTTGCTTTGTTCAAATTCATTAAGGGGAATAAATGTATGAATTCTATCAGTCAAGTTTGCAGTGTGGCTCTGCATCACGGTGCACTGTGAATTGTTAATATTAGATGGTTGGAGGCAATCGGCAGGAAGACCTGTATCTAGGTTTCGTGCTATTTGGCACTCGTCAGCAAGGCGTATCTGAAACCTTGAAGGAACTGATGTCCCTTCTGAGATTCGAACCCGCGTCACCCACCCGCGTAATCATGAGCCACCTAGCATGATGGCCACATTGCAAACATGACTGATAGAATTAAGTCTGCACCGAAGATAGGACTAGACACATTACACTAGTTACTGACTAGTGTGCAATCAAAATATCCAATACAGTCCTACAGGAGGTCAATCGCGAGCCTGAATAGCTCAGTGGTAACGTCTCTGACTGCAGCACCGGGTGACGCGGGTTCGAATCTCAGAAGGGACATCAGTTCCTTCAAGGTTGCAGATACGCCTTACTGATGAGTGCCAACTAGCACGAAACCTAGGTCCAAGGCTTCCTGTGGCCGATTGCCTCCAACCATCTAATACCAACAATAAATCCTAAGTTTTATTCTTAACAGAGTTGAATTGATGAGGAAAAAGAATAGTGTTTTTAAGTTAATATAAATCAGTAGACATGGAAACTTTTGTATTTCAATAGTGACAGAATAAATTTACAGGTAAAATATTCATCAAATAATAGTTAGTTATGTACAAGATTTAAAAACACAAAGTAACCAAATTACAAAACTTTTAATCAATTTGTCAAACTACTTAATTGAAAATAAACAACTAGATTAGTGCGCAAAAAAATAACATACAAATAAAAAGATGAATAGAGCAACTGTAAAATTTATAATATGCGCCAAATGTTGATACTTTAACAAATTTCTTCTCATATCAACTTTTTTATTTAAATGAGGGAAATCTATATTTTGAGGAATTGAGATTTCGAGAAATTCACATAATGTCTGCCAGCCTTGTTTAGGATTAAAAATAAGCAAACGATCATTTGGTACACTTTTGATAACATTTTGATTCCATTGAAGATAGGCTTGTTTCAATTCAGCATTTGTCATTTGATCATAATGTGGACCAAAAGCTTTAGTGAACATTTTATCATGCAATTGTGGTAGACTTTTAAGCCCACGTAGTCGATAAATTAAACGTTCTGTAAGTGTAGGATTCTTTTTCATAACAAGATTTGAAGCAGTTGTAGCTCGACAACTAGAAACCCAGGAATCAGCATCACGAATTGTTAGAATCACCTGTGAATAAAAACTATGTGACATATTTGAAAAGAATATGAAATTGAAAAAAAAAACATATGTCAAAAATGCCCATTAAAACTTTCTTCAAAAGAATGATCACTGAGCAAAGGTTACTCTTTTAACGATAACCTGCTCTTCATGAGGTTCTACAGTTGAGCATACATTATAGTGAATTAATTAGGGTTATTAACAACATTATTGTTGTTTAAATGACATCGAATCAATAATAATAATAATCATATCAATGGATTATATTTCAACAGTTTCAACATAACAATAAACTGAATGAAAATCAGAAAAATTAGGAAAGAAAATAATACAAATTCATGAATTTATAGTCTCAAATGAAGGCCAGCTAGGGAAGTGGTAGTGGCTGAACTCGCTTCCTCTGCACACAGAGAACCGGTTGTCTCACGTCAATCGCGATAGCCTCTGTTGTTTGGAGTATGAGGTACAATTGTGGCTAGTTTGGACCGAATAGTCTAATATCGAATTGTTGATGGTTTTTACTACACCTTTACTTAATTAAACACACTGTCAGATGTTCCCAAGCATGGAAAATCAAGTTCCTAGAGCAATGGGCAATATAACTGGCTGAAAAATTGCTTTTGAATTGGGAGATACAGTTAGAAGTAACAATGTACGAAACTGGAAAGGCTGCTCAGGTAGCCGCAGAAATGAGGAGATATAAAATAGAAGTGTTGGGAATCTGCGAGAGCAGATGGAACGGATGCGGAAGGTGCCAACTGCCAACTGGAGAGACAATAATCTACTCCGGTCACTCAGAGGACAACCAAGAGCACACCGAGGGAGTGACCATCATGATGTCATCAACAGCAGCCAAAGCTATCATGCAGTGGGAACCAATCTCCTCCAGGATAATGACAGCTAGGTTCAACTCAAAAGGAAGGAAGGTTACAATCATTCAATGCTACGCGCCTACATGAGAAGAAGGAGGATTTCTACAGACAACTACAAACAGTAATGGACAACGTCCCAAATGGCGATATCAAAATCCTGATGGGTGACATGAATGCGAAGCTGGGAGGAGACAATACAGGAAGAGAACTCACCATGGGTCGTGAGGCCCTCGGTGAAATGAACGAAAATGGTGAACTATTCTCAGACTTCTGCGCCTTCAATGATTTGGTGATTGGTGGCAGTGTGTTCAAACACAGGGATATACACAAGGCAACATGGATTTCACCAGATGGACACACCAAAAACCAGATAGACTTCATTTCAATCTCAAGGAAGTGAAGACGAAGCCTACTGGACACAAGATCGAGGAGAGGAGCAGATGTGGGTTCAGACCACTATCTAGTACAAGGGACTTTCAAGGTGAAGCTGAAAGCCTCGAGGATAGCTGGGGATAGGCCACAATGCAAGTTCAACACTCAAAAACTGAAGGACACAACCATATTTCCTAGATAAGTGAAGGATGTAACCTCTGTCCAATCTCTCCCGTTGATGGTGATTGGTGCTGGTTGGTTGGTTGGTTATCTTCATCACCTCTGTCTTCTCTATGTTCACGTGCAGTCCTGTCTTCGCTGCTTCTTCAGCTCTCTTTACCCAGGCTTGGGACCGACTAGAAAGCCAGCAAGCTAGTTACCTAGAGGAGGTTTATTTATTTATTTCAGAGTAACTTTTTCAAGAAGTAATACAGGGCAGAGAACGTTGGAGGTCTAAACAGTCATTAAGAATTTTTCGGAGACTGTCAGTGTAATCCAACATGCTCACTTCGTCCTATTTTGGACTTGTCATCTGGATTTACCTGAATTCCCCAAGTAGTGATTGTTTTTCTACCATCCACCAAATTACTTCATGTTAATCCACGGATATCTTTGGAGCGTTCAGCGGAGGCTGAGCATATCGGTCCAAGCGATCAACGAGAAAGTTAAAAAGTGCTTAAACATATGGTTATTAGGAATGATTATTTTGAGACATTTAACTGTCCTTAAGTGTGTGCAAATAGTCATAGTTGGTCACTGTTAATTTTTTTTTGATTATAGTTTGATTCCACACCGTATTATTGGTACATGTATGGAATTTTCAGCATTTGATAACGGTAGCCCAAATTTTGTAGGCCGACCAATTGATATCATCAAGTGTGTGTCGACCCGGGATTGTGGTGAGAGCTGTCTACTAGCCAAATTGGTAGACAGTAATTTACGTCAATATTTACGTTCCCAAGATTTGTCGTGAGAAAATGTGAACAAAGATTGATTCAAAACCGACCACAGCAGACTTTGCGTAGGCGGATGCAGTTAACATATAGAGGATTTGACACATTCAAGAAACAGTCACAAATAGATGAAAGATTAACTTTACGTGAGAAACAACCAATCGGAAGACTGTGTTTGTTTACTTAAATATCCATAGTAATGTACATGAAAACATATATAAATATGCGTTGATTTCCTTAATAAATGATCTGTTGCCTGACTCTTGCCTTCTGTTGTTACAGGATGACATAAATGCGATTATCTGTGATTTTCATTGGATACCTTTACTAAAGGTATCACATACTTTATACTCCCTATGACAGCTTTACTATATTAAAACACAAATAAGGCAGAATAAATTTCGCATAAGAACACACAAGTTGATTGATGACTTATAGTTGGTATACATTCTTAAAACTAATTCTGTTGCAATTCATTGAATAACTACCGAGGATAATCATTGATCCAGCCGATATGACACCTAGACAAACGCATTCATAACCGAAGCCTTGCATTTAAGTAACGTCAGCCTACCATCCAATGACTTTTGAAATCGTAGACACATACCACAATGATCACTAATATTGTTCTAGTTTCCTTTTTTTTAGGTATTCTACTAAGAATTGCTTTTTCACTTTGAAAAATCAAAAAAAAATTTCAAGGAACTTTAGCTAGTATTTACTTCTCTTCCCATATAATAATAATAATAATTTACTTTATTCCAAAAACAGTACTTCTGATACAGAATGGAATTTTCAGCATTAATCACAATATTGCATCTAACTGCCTCAAATTATAAATAAAATTAATCACACAGAAAATTTTTCCACATTTACAATAGTGGTAATGTCAAAAAAACATGCAGCATATGAAATGGAAATAATAATAATGATAGCAGCTAAGGTAATGATAATAAAACAAGTGAAAATTCTTACCTGACACTATTTTCATCACATAAAATACGTGCCAAGTATGGTATCATAGAATTTTTATACTTAGACGTGCGAGCATACAGTTTTCGGAAGTTACTTCTTGTTCTACCTGAGGAGATGCAAGAATTGACTAACCTTTTCTCATTTAGAAAATAAACAATTCCCTCCATCCATCCATCCTTGTATACCTTCAAGTTTTACTTTTATTATTTCTATTATATTTACGGTCCTGTTGATTCTTTGTTTTCACTTTCATAACTGCAAACAACAACTTATCTCTATGACTGCTGTAATCTTTGTTTCTCCCCTCACCATATCATGTAAAGAGAACATTATATTCAATATTTTTAATCATGCTAGGATTTGTATACCACATCGACAATACTGTGTGAAACAAGCCCACGGAAATTTTCACTTGTAATATTACTATTATTACCTTAGCTGTTATCATTATTATTATTACTTCCATTTTATATGCTGCATGTTTTTTTGACATTACCCCTATTGTAAATGTAGAAACATTTTCTGTGTGATTAATTTTATTTATAATTTGAGGAAATTAGATGCAACATTGTGATGAATGCAGAAAATTCCATTCTGTATCAGAAGTACTGTTTTTGGAACGAAGTAAATCATTATTATTATTATTATTATTATTATTATAGCACGTTGCTTTTGTATACTGTATTAAGCTTTTAGTTAGCAGGAGGTGTTAGGAATCTCTGTGGTTGGATTTCATGAATTCAAGCAGACTGATAACGTTTTTAAAGTAAGACTTGAATCGTTGTCATTATTCCATCGTACAATAATACATGTTGCAGGACAGGACAGGACACGATAGGAAATTGAAATTCTACAGCGTTATCAGTAAAATTAGTCATTATCCTGCTACTCTGACGACAGCATATAAACAAAACGAAACGTATGCAGGGAAATTTGAAAGATTTTGTCTAGTAGGTAGGTGTACTGTAGTGGTAAGTATTATAACATCAGTTTACGCGGTGAATTAAAATTAAAATAACTGCTTACTTCAAAATTACCTTGGCGTTTGGATAAGTTTTCAATAATTCCTGGTAGAATAAACACGATGGATAGTCAACAGCGAATTTACATTGACCATAAATCTCTTGCCAGTCAGTTTTATTGATCTGAAGTATTGTTGTGCCAGTAGTCATTGTCAATTGATCATTGAATAGTTTTAACCACTTTTTTATATGTGCTTCCTTATATTGTTTAACAATATCAGACATATGATAACATGGTTGATTGTACAATATTTCCAGAGCAGCTTTTAAACTTGTTGTCCCAGTTCTCATTTGACCAGCACCTATGATAATCAGATCATCTGATCTAGAGGGCAAGGATGGTGAAATAGACGATAGTGATGAATAGGTGCATGCATTGCAGTTGTATATCTCTTGTTTGAATGGATTCAAAGATGGTGAAGGTAGATCTTTTGGAATGAATGAATAATACCATTTCTTGAGTGAATGACGAATTTGATTGAATGTGACTAAAAACAAAAATACAAAAAAAATAAAATATTGTTAAAGTTTCTATCAGTTCATAGTATCCGGTTGGTAGATTTTTATTAGTAAAGGTGAAGGCGGTTACTGTGACAATTCAAGTAGCTTACACTGTAACAGAGGGTTGTACGGCTACAGGAAAAGGATCTGACATCAGTAGTGGACTTATCTAGACAACTAGAAATCCAGCTGAACTGGCTAGGAATAAATTGAAATGGCTGATCTCAAAAAGTTTACAACCCTACAACAACAAGCTTTTTCTGTTAAGGAATCCTGTGGAACAGCACATTAAAAAAAACACGCAATTTAATTTGATCTCATAACCTGTCTGCAATGATTGTCAGGTCAAATACATAGGTCAAAGGAGTAGAACAGCAGCAGTCAGACTAGCCGAACATAAAAACCTAGCATCAAAATCTAGATTGGTTGACTTGAATAAGATAAGAAATCTAGAGAATAGTACCGCTATAGCACTACATGCAATTACACACAATCATACAATAGGATGGGTGGGATAAGATGACAGTTTTAAAATCTAATATAACAGCTGGATGGAGAAAGAGAGTGATAACTGACTGAGGCTTTATTTAGCGAATCAACTGCAAATAGGTGTAATAGGAATGATTCAACACCTGTCCACGTCAAAATCTGGAAAATTCTACTGCCCAAACGACGACAAATAGGAGAGAACAAAGAGAACTGTAAACTCAGGTTTCGAAGTCGTGTTATTATAATTGATAATGATTATGAACAAAAATAGATTGAGTTCGAAACCTTGTCATCCAGTAAACAGTGATACTGTTTCACTGTATGATACATCTGCGTCGGTGGCACAGTGGTTAGGACTCTCGCTAACCATGCACATGGTCCGGGGTTCGATCCCCTGCCGGCGCACACCCGATATCTATGGTCGGCCTGAATTTGGGCTACGGATATCCATGCTGAAAATTCCACACTTGTACTGAAAATACGGTGTGGAATCAAGCTGTAAATAAAAAATAAAAAAATAAATAAATCTAATAAACAAACTAATATGGAATTACACCTAGAGTAACACTAAATACCATCTAGTATTAAAATAGTTGTTATACCCTAGTTCCAGACATTCAATTAGGGTCTTCAAACAACTTTACGAGTAGTGGACGTTAAATCACTCAGCCACAAGACTGGAATTCAGTGATCAGTGATTTCTAAATTCTGTTAACTTAATATATTTCATCATCAGTTGACACCGGTTTTGAGAACCATTGGAAAACCTTCAGGGAATACTGGACAACCAGCTGTTTCGTCACCCTAGTTTGGGACTAATCGGTAGTACACACCCACCACCAGGGTCCGAAATCAGGACCTTTCAGTCATACAGTGAGCTTACAGACCACTTAGCAGTCACTAAGACCTGAACCAATGGCCAGCCTATAAATTCCACCTTCTGCCAATTCATGAAATAGCACGACCAGCACTAGCCAATGTCATCAGAGAGTATATGTCCTTAAACCCGACCTGGTGTACCCTTCTATAACTAGAACGAAACAGCTGTCCAGTACTCCCAAGTGATTTTTCAATGGTTCTCTAACCGATATCAGTTAATGATGAAATCGTGTGACTAATCAAATCCCTGCAAATCAACACTTTAAGATATTTCTTTGTTAAAAGCTAAACATATGGCTATTATTTTATTTAAGTAGTCAAACTGGTTGAAATACAAAAAGCTGTTTTAATGTAAATGTCACGAACCAGTCTCAATTAGAAATCACTGGAAACCAAGAAGTACAGGACAACTGTTTCTTACTGGTTTGGCACTTTTCATCAGTGTGCACACACTATCCCACCAGGGATAGAAACGGAATCGACATTGAAATTCATCTTAGTCTTTAAATCTATTCCAAATGAACAAATACAATGGCTGACTCTTCCTTCCTGCCTTACAGCTTCATTTAACTACGACAACATTAAAGGACGAAGAAAATCAATGAGAAACTTAGTTGATTTATTCTAGCTGGTTTAGTGAAGTGTCGATTTGATACGACTTTTCTGATCACATTGCAACACTGAACATAATGTGAAGATTGGATGGAGGATTTCATCATAAGTTGACATCAGTTAGAGAACCATTGGAAAACCTGGGAGTACTGGACAGCTATTTCATCCTAATGTAGGATTCTTCAGCAGTACTCACCCAACACAGGAGGTTTGAACCTAGGACCTTCTGGTTACAAGGCTAGCGAGCTCGTAGACCATTGAGCCACTGCGACCCGATCCAGTGGCCAGTCCATGAGTTCTAATTCGCGACATAGCCCGATCATTTCGCAATGTCTTCTTCTATGAGTTACTGTCTCATCTTCAACCAGTACAGCAGGCTGAATTAGGTCCCGGGTTCAAACCACGCAGTGTGGGTGCGTACTGATGAAGAGTCCCAAACTAGGCAGGCGAAACAGCTGTCCATTACTCCATGCAGGTTTTCCAGTGGCTCTCTAACTGATGTCAGCTCATGATGAAATCCTCCATTCAATCAAACAAAATACCTACAAAACCAAATACTTGACAATGTGAAGATTTCACACCTTTTTGACCAATGCCTTTAAAATGTGAAATTCAGCCTAATCCTGTCGAACTAGTGATGAACGTTATAAGCAAGTCATAGTAAAAATTTTGGTTTCTGTATTTAGTTTGTTTATTTCTGTCTTTTATCTTCGAAAAGTTAACAACCATGAAGGGGAGATTTTGAATACTAAAGGTTATAAGAGTTCAGGAAGTAATATTTCCAATTTTGACATTTATGCTGAGGTGTAATTCGCTAGTCACACCAAAAATGATGACTAAGATTTCTCTGTCATCTCTATCACGAAAAGCTCTTACAAAGAAGCTTTCTTAAATAAATACAAAATGAATTAATTGACTACAAGTCCAGTGCGTCAGTGGTTTAGAGGTAGGATGCTCGCCAACTATGAATGTGGTCCGGTGTTCGATCGAGCGGCAGTGCACACTTTTACCTCATCTAGTCGGTTGAAACCCTGACAAATAGAGAAGGTTGGGCATGGGGCTGGCTAGCAACCCAATCCCGTAATAAATAAAAAACTTCAAGCCTCAAGCTTGAAGCTCTATGTTCCACTGGGAATGTAAAGGAATAAAAGAAAATCTATTCATCACTTGAATTACTTTTATTTTTTATTTTTATTTTGATTACAGGTTGATGCCACACCGTATTTTCAGTACAAGTATGAAATTTTCAGCCTGTGTGATATCGGTAGCCCAAATTTTACAGGCCGACCATAGATATCGGGTGTGCGTCGGCAGGGGATCGAACCCCGGACCATGTGCATGGTCGGCGAGAGTTCTAACCACTGTGCCACCGACGCTAATAAACGCTCAGATTTTCTGTTTCTACAGGGATTAAACCTAATTCTCGTGTAGATTTCGTCACGTACCGAGATCCGTCAGGGAATCACTGAAAATGAAGGAATATTGGACAAGTGCTTCGTGATATTCTTTTTATTTTTGATTACAGCTTGATTCCACACCGAAAATTTTTTGGTACAGCTATAGCAGGGGATCGAACCCAGGACCGTGTGCACGGTCGGCGAGAGTCCTAACCACTGTGTTCAACTTCTCAAAACTGTACAACCACGACCCCACCAGGGTCCGAAGTAGAAACCTTCAGGTTGACAGGCTGGCTAGTCTACTGATCATTTAGACACTGGATTGGAATTCCGTAGCCAGTGAAAATTCTAACTTCTGCTAATTCTGGACACAGTATTACTGCTAAACAATGACACTGATGAGTATTAACTTCACATCCAACTTGATGCACCTCACCGGCTAGGAATTCTTATCAGAACTTCAAGGCAGCCATCCTTTCATAACTATTGAGCAGGAGATTGATATCCAAATTTCTGGCTTTGTTTTGGTGTTTTTTTTTTTTGATTAATTCTGACCCGCTGGTATGCTGGTACGTGCTTGCGTGTGTACGTATATGCGAAGAGTCCCAGACTCGGACGAAACGCTTGTCTAATATCCCATAGTTTTCAATAATTAATTCTATAACTGATATCGATTCGTGATGGAATCTACACTGGTACTCTAAACACCTTTAGAGTTAATATTTAATTGGTGGATGGTGACTAGCAGTGGAATCCAGGATGCGAATTTCGTCCTATTTGGGACTCATCAGCCACTGGATGTACCTGCATTTCTCAGTGAGTGATGATGTTCCCACCGAGGCTCGAACCCAGTGCCCATAGTTTCCAACGCCAAAGCGTTGGGCCACGAGAGCCACCTCTTGTGCAACGGGTCATATTGATTTAATTGAATTTTAGATTTTCCCGTCGATTGATTGACTGAGAAATGCAGGTACATCCAGATGACGAGTCCCAAATAGGATGAAATGCGCATCCTGGATTCCACTGCTAGTCACCATCCACCAATTAAATACTAATTAAATGCCCAGACATCGTCGAAGCATCTGCTCAAGAAGCCGACATGTCAACCTGAGACCGAGCACTTCGGTCCAATCAATCGACGGGAAAAATCTAAAATTCAATTAAACCTTTAGAGTTAAGTTTGAAAGAATCAACTAAAATGTCTTTTTTTCTAGTTTTACCCCACTTAATTAGCAAATTGTGAAATTGACACACAAAATTTTACAATGACGTGTAAACCTAACGTAATATAATTTTTTTTAAATTCAGTTTTAATACAGAAAAATTATTTGGAAAGCGAATTATCAGTCGTAATCATAGACAGGCATGCTTAGCAATTGCATACATGACGTACTCTTACACCAGTTATATTTGTTACTATTTTAAAAGAATTACTACTAATAATAATAATTATTATAATTTGCTTTATTCCAGAAACAGTACTAGTGGTACAGTGTGGAATTTTCAGCACATATCTACAATATTTGCATCTAATTTTACAAACATTTAAAAGGAGTATTAAACAAACAAAAAATATAAATCTAAAGACACCAACAGCAAAAAAAACAAAC